GTGTCCGCCGAAGTGCGACTGGTAACGAGCTGCTCATTACGACTGTTTTTCTTCATCTTACTGGTGTGAACAATCTTAATGTGCACGTTGTCAGGATGGGCCAGATGGCAAATATCCATTTACATTTGAAATTGCATCTGAAGGTACTTAAATCCCTCCATGAGACCGTGTTCACACGCCAGCAGTTTGTTTATAATTCCACTTGTCCACGCAGCGTTAGAAAACAAACTGCTTCGCTCTGCCTCGTTATCTGTTTCCAGCTCTGCCTCTTACTAGTTTGCATGTTAGGGCATATCATTTGTCTATATCTGTATTTATGTCAGGCGGCCGAGCGGGACTGGGAGGAGAAGCGTGCCAGCTTGACCCAGTTCAGCGCCCAGGACATCAATCGCTTGCTGGAAGAGACTCAGGCAGAGCTGATGAAAGCCATCCCCGACCTTGACTTCGCTGCCAGGCACATAAACAAGCCGGCGGTGCCCCCGAAGCCCCAGATCACCATCCCAATAACGTCCGCCGCAGCTACCTCTGCAGCTGGGACCGCTGGGACCACAGCCACGACCTCCATCACTACAAACACCACACCCAGCGGGGACCAGCAGCCTGGAAAGGTGCAGCTGGCTGCCCAGAAGCTGAACAGCATGGAGGGGGCTGGTTCGCATCGAGGCTCAGGTCAGTTTGTGTTTCAGAAATCTGAGCTTCCAGCTTTGACTGAATTCCCTTTGTGCCGTCTTCCTCTCCTCACCCCCAACCAGCTGGGGTGAGGGGGGGGAAATTACCTTACAATATAAAGCACCTTGAGGCAACTGTTGTTATTTAAACAAAATGAAAGTTAAAATACTAAAAATCTGTTTATTTTTAAAGTGGACCTCAACGTGGCCAAGTATCGGACAGAAAAGCCCTCCAAGTCTCCTCCTCCGCCTCCACCTCGCCGAAGCTTCCCCTCCGCTCACGGCCTCACCACAAACCGAACTGGAGAAGTCATCGTCACCTCCAAGAACCTGAAGGTGAGGATTCAGTATCCACAACCACACATGAGTCATACCTTGATTGTTGGGCCACAGTTTCAGTTTCTTAGATAACAACCACAGAACCGATCACTTGATCATGTTTGAATACATCCATCTATTTCCTGAGCCACTTTTCCAATAAGGGTCACATGGTTCCCCAGATTAGTGCGAGTTAACCAGGCTTTAACAGCTTTAACAGCACTTTCAGGATTATTGCCATGCTGCTACGTCGACAGGTTTTTACCACACACAGATTTTGGCAGATCTCTGCAGACTTTGCTGCAGGCTCACAGCAGCATGCTGCCTCTTTCAGCTCACACTATAGATCAAGTTTCTGTATTTGCCCTCTGGTCCACAGTGTTATTAATGCATATGGATTGTTTTGGTGGGAACTTTTCTATTTTTTTTTTTTTTAGGTAGATGCCGTAAATGTCTGCCTTTTCTCAAATCTATTAGAAATAAACATCTCTATTTTCTTTATACAAACTACCCCCACTAACCAGAGTTGTTTCATCCTGTCATG